GGAATTCAGAAATAAATATTAAATATATTAAGTTTATATAAAAAGCTTTTACAGTTAAAAACAGATGCCAGCATTTCTGTAAATAAATATAAAACGCAGGTCATAGCTGTTTTTTAAAGATCACATTGCATATAGCCTATAAAGAAAATAAAATATGATTGATCATATTAATCAATAATAAATCACAAAGTAAAAACACGGTATACATGTAGTTAAAGCAAAATAGAATGGAGGAATTTAAAGAGCAGGTCATATGGGTTTTTGAAAAATATCTCTTTTGCAGTTTATAACGTAGCTATCCTTAAATGAAAACACTCTGCAAAGTTGTTAATCAAAAAAGTGCATGATAAATAAAGATCAAAAGAGAGTCGGTTCTGAATCGCCTAAACGAGTCTATTTTTGAGTCTTTTGCCTGTTACCGGTATACGTCACTGGGTAACACATTTGCATAATCCCCGCCTGTCCGCGAAATACGAACAGAGGCCGTTTCTCAATATGCGTTCTTCAGCGATCTCAGTAGCCCCTCATCTACGAAGCTGTAGAACTAATAGAACGTGATGACACAGAAGAACTCATCCACAATATCCACATTGACCGCCACAAATTTTCACCATCCCCTGCCATCAGCTCCCGCGTCTCTCACACACACGAGCGGGACTTTAGCACTAGATTTAGCAACTTTTTTTCCATAGAATATTCATACTGACAAGCCTAGCAACTTTTTGGGATAAACCTTAGCTATGGTTCAGTTGGAAGATTTCGCCAGTGCTGTCCTGCCAACGTGAGGTCTGACTTTCCCGGAGAAGTGTCACCTCTCTCGGCGTCTGTTCTGTGGAGTGAGCGGCAGAGAAGCAGCGCATTCAGTTGGCCGCACCGCAGCCGACTCGTCAATAAATACTGTAAAATAAAACGGTATACAATTATATGTAAATAATATCTATAATAGTATGAAATGTTTTAATAAGTTATGACATTTGTTTGTTATATTATATTTATGGTTCATTGGCCGCTGCTTATGCTGTGACTATGCGGTCAGTTAAAGGGGGCATAACACACCATTTCACCCAATCTCATGTTAATCCTGAGTACCTATAGAGTAGTACTGCATCCTTTATACCTCAAAAAAGTCTTTAGTTTTATCATATTTATAAAAGAAAAATATAGCTTTACAATTCTCTCTGGAAAAAGCCGAGCTCCTGGAGGCGTGCCGTGGGCGGAGCTAAAGAGTGCCGAGCACTTGGGCGCCGAATGCCAACAAAACAGACATTTGATGCCGTTTCACTTACCGTCTGCAGTTCTGGATCATGACCAAGATCTTTTATAGCTGGGACCGCTCCATCTTTCAGTATCAAACGATGTGCAAATCCAGCGTCGAACTGGGCCTGGTTTATAAAACGTTCGTCAACAAACACACGTGAAACTCCGTTGCTGCCCCGGAAAAACAAACTGTATCCACTGTTTACATAACGCTGGGTTCTTTAGGAAGCTGAACAAAGTTATCTTTCCCTTACAACCAAAAACACACTTCTTTGGAGACATTCTTCCCGAGCAAGTCCCGTGCAGCGCTGCCGCCGGATGAAGCAGTAGCTCCTCACTGCAGAACAAAGATCCAGGGGGTGGGGTTGGATCCACATCTAGGGGGTGGAGATGGTAGGTTTAGGTATATGTAAGGTGGGAGGAGTTGGATCTGGATTCAACCTCGCCCCCTAGATACCATATGACCTGCTCTTTAAGTAATTGTAGAAGTCCAAAGTTCTGTAGAACTACGCGGCAATCCTTTTTGTATTGTTTCAGTATTAAGCCATTTTAACTGGATAATGAGTTTCTTTTCAGACCACTTGCCTTTATGGATGTGAAACTTGCCATGTAGTAAAAAGATTTAATATAAAAAATATGACTTGTGTCCATGTCATTTTCCCATAGTAAATAAAAACTAAATCACGTTGTTTGTCTTTTTATTGCCGAACTATACGGGGAATTTAATTTACACAGTGTACTCAAAAATTATCCAAGGAATGACAAAAAAACGAAATAACAAGTGAAAAGGTTTCAAGTATGTAATTTGTGTGGACACATAATCGTTCCATACAAATCTGAAAGCAAGCAAGCCACCCATCTAAAGCAGATGCAGAAAAACTTTCACAAAAGAACCCAACTATAAGTAGGCTACATTAACATTATTAGTCTTAACTCTTAACTAACGCCTTTCATATTTCAATGGACACATAATCGTTCCATACAAATCTGAAAGCAAGCAAGCCACCCATCTAAAGCAGATGCAGAAAAACTTTCACAAAAGAACCCAACTATAAGTAGGCTACATTAACATTAGTCTTAACTCTTAACTAACGCCTTTCATATTTCAAGTTTTTCCCACATTTTCCCGAGAAGTCTCCGGTGTAAAGGTATAACGGAAGTACAGATACACTGCTTTGTGGGAAAGCGGAAGTTAGCTGACGTCACTGTGAAAAGGGTCTATATGTTTGTTGTACCCATCATTGTTTGCCTAAAATAACGGAAGACCGTGATGAGAACACATGAACAGAGGAAATGCAATCTGCAAAGGCAATGTTTTGAATCAGGTGTCATAAATTCAACTCTTCTTTTACTCTACAGCTTCCGCCAATGAGGCCACCGCCTCAGCGAACGTTTGTGAATGAGGATCGCTATGTAAAGGCCAAGCACACAACTGTGTACCCATCAGCAGAGCAGCTGGATGCTGTGCAGGGCATGGTGTCTAATGTGGAGCGTGCCCTGAAGTCTGTCTCTGAATGGTTAAATGAGAAAGAGGGTAGTGCCGCTGATGCTGTAAGGTATGGGCGTTGGTTAGGGAAGTCAACTGCACTAATGTATTTAGATTTTTAAAACTGAGCATTTTGTTTTATGTTTAAGCAGTCACTGGGTAATTTATATTACAGTTTCGGTGGAAGTATAACCTCATGCTCAGAGTCTGTGCTGTTCTCTCTGCAGTGCTTCACCTCAAAGTAAATTGCGTGGTGTTTTGAGAGTGGGCCTGGTGGCTAAAGGACTCCTGCTGAAAGATGACTTGGAGTTAGAGTTGGTGCTGCTCTCCAGGGATGTGCCTACCAGTTCTCTGCTCAGGCTGATCTCTGGAAAAATCTCAGAATTCATAAAGGTTTTTCTCACCCTTTTTTATTATTAATTTGTATTATAGAAAGTTGATTAGGGATGCACCGAATGTTCGGCAACTGAAATGAACCGGATAAGCGAAAAGACTGAATAAATTGTACCGAACAATGACATGACATTCAAACAGCGCTGCACGAGCTTGCGGCGCTATCTGCTTGTTAGCCAGGGACAAGGTTCAAAGTCCATAGTGTGAGGAAAATCTGCGCTGAAACTGTTACTCATCTGCTGCTCAGTAAAAGTTTTATGCATTTTCAAAATAAAATAGAAGACAATAATGAGAATAATTACAACAGCTCTATTAATACTTTTCACTCTCACACACTGTTCAAATTGGGATCAGTAATATTTTTAATGTTCTAAAAGAATTCTCTTCTGCTCAGCAAGGCTGCATTTATTTGTACAGTAAAAAGACATAACTGATTCAAGAAGGGGGTCTCAAAAATGGGCAAAAAATATTTTTACCAACTTATTATTTTTAAGTTAAATTGTGCTTTGTTGGTACAGTGTCTGCTAGAATGTTAAAAATTGTTCAGTGTTAAGTAAATATTTTTAAATTGTTTTTATTTTGATCTTTGAAAAATAGATATTTTTTCTTTGAAAAGCTAGACAAAACTGTAAAAAGTACATTTTGACTATTTAATTTATGCAATGGTGGAAAAAAATGGGCAAAATATATGGGGGGGGAAATGCGAAAAAAACGTGGTATTCGGCCTTTGACCCAGTGTTTCATTTTGTTCAGCTTCAGCCAAGAATTTTCATTTTGGTGCATCCCTAGTTTTGATACTTGCTTTTCTCATTGATTGGGCTTCATTCATGAAACAAGCATTATGCAAATGCAAAGAGCTGGGTTGTTTTGCGAAACGCATGAAGCAGGAGAATTGGCATCTTTATGCAGAATGTATTTTAATTGAGTAAAAAGTTCAAGAGAGATGAGAACACTATAGTTTATTGGTATTTGAAAGCATTATAAAATTGGCTAATGTTTCCAATAAACAAATAGACTACTGAAAAGTTGGGGTCAAACAAGGATGCATTTAAATTGATCCAGGGACAGTAAGACATTTATAATATTGCAAAATGTATATTTCAAATGTTTTGAACTTTGTTCATCAGCAAAGCTTCCACAAAAATGTTATGTAGCACAACTGGAATGACCAGTTTCAATACTGATAGCGATAAGACACTTTAGTGCCAAATCAGCATATTAGAATAATTTGAGGGATTATTTGACACTGAAACCTGGGGTAATAGACCTTAGTCAGGGTAGTGCAATTTTACATTTTTGACAAATGACAACGAGGCTGTGAGGGATAGAAGTGCAGTGTATGTGTGTTTATGAACATACAGATTGTTCTGTTGACACAACATCTTTCAGAAATAAAGCTTTTGGTAGACAGAAGCTTTATAAAGTATACTGTGAAATTTATACAGTGTGTACATTGTAAAGACTGTCAGTCTATCCCTGACAGCATTGTTTTCATATAAATTCAATATGGCATCTAACCTGACCTAAGGTCTATGAAATTCAGCTTTGCCATCACAGAAATAAATTGCATTTCGAAATGTATCAGAATTGAACACTTACTGTGAAACATGTTTTACAATTTAAAATATTACTGTTACTGTATCAAATAAATTCAGCCTTGGTGAGAGACTTCTTTCAAAAACATAAGCATTTTTACAAACCCTTAACTTTTGAATGCTACTATACGTATAGAACCTTTTGTGTCCTCATGAGTTTTTGTGGCTGCAGATTCCATGCAAGACAGGTCATTATTTACCAGCCAATATTAATGAAAAACTAAACTGACATGCAGTTTCTCCTCTTGCTTTTCTTAATGAAAGGATGTTACTGAGGAGAAATACGTCATCACTCCATCTATCCAAGATGCTGCTATTATTGTTACTAGCCCGACGGAGCCCAGTCTGAAACTGAGCATCCATCTGACCTCACCCGTGGTCAGGGAGCAGGTTGAAAAAGAGGTATCTGGAGGTATGATCTCACTCTTTTTCATTTTCGGACCTAAACGACCTTCAGTACATCGGAGGAGTGAAAATAAAAATCCTGCTGCATCAAATGAGTGGTGGTTCCTTCTGAGCCAAATACTGGGTGCTTTCAGCATTTTAAATGTTGCAAGTATTGTCTTCGCTATTGTTCGGCATTTTACTGTTGAACGTTGAAATTTCCGAACGTCACCTCTAAAGCGATACGAAGGGTTTGCATTGCAGCAAAAATTAACCACTAGACTTGTATTTTACGATGTGCTTGTTATTATGCTTATTTTTTTGTACAATGATAAGAGTTTATTTTTTAACTGTTTCCGATCATTACATTTAGCTTAATTTTATGTAACATTTGTTTTTGTGCTTAAGGAGTAATCTGTTCATCTAGAACAGATTTCACTTGTATTTTGCTGCAGTATTTACCCTGTACACAACCTATTTCATTTAAATTAAGGTATTGCTTTTGTTGCCTGTGGTTGCAAATTGACTTTCTCAACCAAGCCTTCTAGTTTGTCAATTTTAGGGGCGCTGGACTTTTGACCAACTGGAAACTCTCTGTCTCGGAAGGGGGGGCGCAGTTGGCCTACAGAAGAGGAGGGTGAAATGTCTATAGAAGTAGAGTAATTTAAAGAAGATTAATCACTGTTCAAACAGACTAAGCTTTGTCTTAGATCACTTCCCGAACAGTTCCCCCTCTTCCTCTTGCTTGTGGGCATGGGAACACTGCGTCTGCCCCCTGGCCAGATGACAGAACCCCCCTTGGTCAAACTGTACCTTGTCTTCTTACTCCATTCGTCACTAGAACCGTGCGCGGAAAGCTCTCCGCAGGACGCTCTGGACAGGCAGAAATGCCTGGCTTCTCTGGCGTCTCTCCGCCAGGCCAAGTGGTTCCAGGTTTGCATCCCGTCTTTATTTGTCTAAAAGTCGACTTGTAACTTAATCTGACCTTTGACCTGGGGAAAATACATATTTGCACATTGAGCTTCTCTGAGAAATGCTTTTTAAGGCTGTTTGAATTTTGAAACGTCTATAAATGCTTTAAACTGAATTGCGCATAACCTGTTTTCGTTTAAATGTCAGATGTATCTTTCCCAGGTTGCAATTTGTTCGTTATTGGTCAGAACCTATAATTTGGCCAGATTGATCTGCTTCATACAAAACGTCCTCTAAAAAGCATCTAGAAGTTCTTTGAAGATGCATGGTAAAGTCTTGACGGGTTTGCTGTTTGTTGGGTTAACAGGCTAAAGTGTCCGGGCTTGAGTCGTGTGTCATCGTGATTCGGATCTTGCGGGACTTGTGTACCCGTGTTTCAACGTGGGCCCCTCTCAAAGGATGGGTGAGTCCACCTCAAAAACAAGAACAAATACATATATCTTTACAATTATACATTTACAAGTCTTTTTAGTGTAATATTTATAGGTCACTTTTCTGTGTATATCTCTTTAATCCTATATAGATTATTGAGCTGCTCTGTCAGAAGGCTATTTCAACCAGCGAGAGGCTGCTGGGACCTGGAGAGGCGTTCCGGAGAGTTCTGGAGTGTCTTGCTTCAGGGATACTAATGGAGGGTAAAGACCGAAACAAAGCATTGTCTGTGTTTCTGAGTGACTAAGCATATTTTGGTGTTTTGAGTCATCTACTGAGCATGACTCCTCTCGACAGATGGTCCAGGCATTTCTGATCCCTGTGAGCGAGACAGCACTGACGCTAGCGTCCATCTTACACTGCAACAGAGGGAAGACATTACCCAGAGTGCACAGGTTACTTGCAATCTAACACTTTAGTTTGACTTTATTTTACAGTGTATTGGTCTAGAAACCATACAAATTAAAATGGTTATTATTTACTTGGCCCAGTGTCATTCTAAACCAAGTGTGCCGCACAAGTCTTGAAAAGTGAAGCCAGAACGTCTCGATCGCCCCCAGGTGACTGGATGCAGTGTAGGTCATAAACCCCACCCTCTCCATGTAATCTAATGGGATGTGAGACAATCTAAATAATCAAATTACACTTAAAGTAAATTTTTTCCACGTTTTCTGTCATTTTAGGTAGTTCTTAACATGCTGATGTATGTTTAAGTGTTAATTTTTCTAATAAGTTGGCTTTTAATTAGTTATTTGATGCTATAAAAATGGGGTGTGGTGTTATGATTGTGAGCTTGCGATTGGGTCTTTGATTCCATGGCTCCACCTCACGATCACTACTGCGCAGACTCTGGCTCCAAACGAATCTCTACTGCGCAGGCTTCAAATTATGTCATTTTTGCAAGCTTACAGGGGCCATACTGAGAATGTTTTGGCTTCACTTTTCTGTAGTGGAAGGAAGTGGAGACACGTCGTCCATCTTTTTTTACAGTCTATGTTCTAAAACCATTTGGTGGTGCTTTTTTTTTATTGTGGAGCACTAAAATTAAATTAAATTAAAAAAAAATCTTCATTGTGACTATGTATTTCAAAGCTGAAAAAAAGAAAAGTTTTAAAATGTACATTTATAATTTGTAGGGATGTAACGATTAACTGCGAGCCAGTTGAAAATCGATTATAATATGTGACGATTCAAATCGGTTGAGATGCTAAACAAATCGAGATTCATTTAGGTGTAGGAGTTTATATGAATGTATGTCTGAGGGGAACTTACTGTCTTTAGAAAAATTTAGATGGTATTTTTTCTTTTCATCTTGCCTCTGTATAATGCATATTAAAGGGGTCATATGATGCGATTTCAATTTGTCCTTTCTCTTTGGAGTGTTACAAGCTCTTGGTGCATAAAGAAGATCTGTAAAGTTGCAAACACCAAAGTCTCAAAACCAAAGAGATATTCTTTATAAAAGTTAAGAGTCAGCCACGCCTACCTAAAACGGCTCGTTCTAACACGCCCCCACATATCTACGTCACGATCTGGGAAGATTTGCATAACGCCGCCCAAATGTTCACGCAAAGAAAGAAAGCGTAACTTTTATTCTCACTGTAGTATTGTTGACGCTGCAGCCATGTCGTGAACGTGCTGTGTTCTTCATTGTGAAAGCGAAACTACTTTGTTTGTTCTTCCAAAAGAGGACGATATCCACTTCGTCATGCCTAGAGCTGATCTGTGCTGGTCGCTGAGGGAATACATCAACTTTCACCGTGGACGAAGCGGAGTTCAGCCCGCCTCAGCTCACTCTATCCCGGCCTCAGTGCACACTAAGCCGGGGCTTCCCCTCATGCTAGGCCGCAGTGTTTTTTGTTGCCACTGATGATTCAAACGCGAGTTTTGAACACCAAATAATGTTCTTTTAGCAACATCATATGACCCCTTTAAAGTTCATGTTTACAGCGGAAACCAGGAAACGCTTTAAGCGCCACCTGCTGGCAGAGAGTGAATCTGCATCTCATTCAGCTCATCTGCTGTTTCTGTTTCATGCTGATATTTTTTGTGTAGTTTCACAAAACTGAAGTCAAACCATTATGTTTTTGCTTTAAATTTCAAAATTATACAATCTAATTTAGATTAAAAACTGCTCATGTTGCATGTATGCAGCATCTTTTTTTGGATCATGATGAAAATGCAGTGGTTGCCTCTAATTTTAAATGGAAAGAGCACAGACAAAGCCTTATTTTGTTTATATGAAGAGATTTATTTTATTTGTGTTAACACTTATTTATTTGATTTGGGGCTTGTTTTAACATTTCATTTTAGTTTTGTTATTTACATTATATTTAAATTGTCATTTAGCAGACGCTTCTATCCAAAGCGACTTACAAATGAGGACAATAGAAGCAATCAAGACCAACAAAAGAACAATGATATGCAAGTGCTATATTATAGTGTTATATTTCAATTTCACAAAGAAACGTGCAACATTTTGTCCAAGCAATAATAAAAGGACACATTACATTTATAGTTTCTTAAATCTCATTTTGTTAAAAAAAATCGTGAGTTGAGTGAATTGTTACATCCCTAATTATTTGCACTCAAATCTTTTCAAATATGCAGAACAAAAATGAGATATCAGGACTTCTGTGGTAATTTGTTTGTCATTTCTCCGATCACAAATGCAGACAGAGTTTTATGTTTACGCGGCGCAACGCAATGCGTAAAAAAACAGTATCAGTCATTATAATCAGTAATTATGTCCCCACTGGATGCAACAAATGCCTCGTTTGTAATGGGTTTTAATGTTGTCTCGTCGCTCCGGCCGGACACGACATCAACAGTATGTGAGGAGCGTAACATTTCCGTCTCACGCTTGAGGTATTCGGCCAATCACAACGCACTGGATAGCTGGCCAATCACAGCACACCTCGCTTTTCAGACCGATGAGCTTTGTAAAAATCAACGCGTTTCAGAAAACCGGGGCATGGAGGAGAAACAATAATGTACAGTATGTGGAAAATAATGTGTTTTTTTTACTTTAAACCGCATAAACACATTTCATTACACCAAATACACCAAATAATGTTCTTTTAGCAACATCATATGACCCCTTTAAAGTTCATGTTTACAGCGGAAACCAGGAAACGCTTTAAGCGCCACCTGCTGGCAGAGAGTGAATCTGCATCTCATTCAGCTCATCTGCTGTTTCTGTTTCATGCTGATATTTTTTGTGTAGTTTCACAAAACTGAAGTCAAACCATTATGTTTTTGCTTTAAATTTCAAAATTATACAATCTAATTTAGATTAAAAACTGCTCATGTTGCATGTATGCAGCATCTTTTTTTGGATCATGATGAAAATGCAGTGGTTGCCTCTAATTTTAAATGGAAAGAGCACAGACAAAGCCTTATTTTGTTTATATGAAGAGATTTATTTTATTTGTGTTAACACTTATTTATTTGATTTGGGGCTTGTTTTAACATTTCATTTTAGTTTTGTTATTTACATTATATTTAAATTGTCATTTAGCAGACGCTTCTATCCAAAGCGACTTACAAATGAGGACAATAGAAGCAATCAAGACCAACAAAAGAACAATGATATGCAAGTGCTATATTATAGTGTTATATTTCAATTTCACAAAGAAACGTGCAACATTTTGTCCAAGCAATAATAAAAGGACACATTACATTTATAGTTTCTTAAATCTCATTTTGTTAAAAAAAATCGTGAGTTGAGTGAATTGTTACATCCCTAATTATTTGCACTCAAATCTTTTCAAATATGCAGAACAAAAATGAGATATCAGGACTTCTGTGGTAATCAGTGTACAGTGCTTTCTTTTTCTTTCTGTTCCTCACACAAAGCTCTTTTAAACACTGCGTGAAAACTATGAACTCTTTGTGAACATTTCTCTTTTTTTAATGATGGAAATAAAAAAACACTGCTACATGAGAGTAAATGACTAAGGACAGATAAGATGGTTATTACAGTTGATACATTTACAACCTTGGAAAAAAACATTTAGTTATTCGACATTTAATTTGTTGCTTTCCTCTCACCTCTAGTTTGCCTTAAGACTGTCAGCTTTTGGGCAGCTGTACAAAGTTCTTGGAATGGACCGCCTCAATTCCAAAGCTGCTAGAATGTTCAACGAACAAAACCGAGGTACCAAAGTGACTCTTTCTAGTGTTCAAAAACAGTTTAACCTGTTTTCCTCTCATAAAATAAGTAGGCCATGTTTACTTTTGTATCTTTAAAGCTTCTATATGTAAATGACAGCTATTAAGATTGCTCAACCTTTATGAAAACTACTGCTGTAGTTGATATTGTCATTTTCTAGGCTTGATCCAGTTGCTAAACACTGAATAGGCATTAAATGTTGGACTGGATAGAGACCTTTGCATTTTGACTGCTAATATGTCTACATAGTATTATGTTCTGTTTTATTTCATAAGAGCAAAGAAAACCATGTTTTCTGTGTCTGTTAACCTATTATCATGCCACATTTCTTCCTTTCACTTAATTAAATTGCAGTAGCTGATATTCCAGTAAAGAGGCCAAGGGAAGTTTATGATGCAGGGGATCTTGAAATGAGGCCAAAGTTTCCAAGAAAAGGTATGCATCTCAATTTTTATACTGTTTTTCATAATCCTCTTATGTTACCCTGCACTAATTTTATATTCATTGTGTATTAGAAAAATACAGCATACCTCATCTAGTGAAAGATCATGACATTTTTCAGTTTCTGCTTTGAACATTTTTCAGTTTTCAACATGGATAAGAAATGTTCCTTAAGCAGCAAATCAGCATATTGGAATGATTTCTGAAGAATTGTGACACTGAAAATCCAAGAAGGGAAAATTTTGGATTAATCTGCCAATTATTGTAAAAAATAAAGTCTTAGTCTTTTTATATGTGAAGTATGCCTGTGACAAGGGTCAATAGAAAGGCTACAGGAGTCCAAAAAATGTGAAGCCCCAGGTGTAATTTGTGCAACACAAAATTGCATAGAATAACCAGGAATAAAATTCAAACCGTAAAATCCCAAAATATATTGGGGAATTTTTTGCAGCTGCTCACAAACAGAAAAAGCAATCAACAGTGAGGACAGTGCTGCTGTTTAAATCTACTGCTTTCCTGCTGTTCTCGCTTCAAATATAATAGTTTATTGTTCTCATGTGCATGTGCGTGTTATTTTTTTCTTTCAGGTGGAGGTTGATGGGCAAAAATTCCAGGGCTCTGGATCAAATAAGAAATTAGCCAAAGCCAACGCAGCACTTGCAGCATTAGAACAGCTTTTTCCAGAAGGTTCTCCTGCAGACCCACTCAAGAAAAAGAGATTCCCTCCTATGGTAAAGTGAAAGTGATGTGACATGTGGCCAAGTATGGTGACCCATACTCTGAATTAGTGCTCTGCATTTATCCCATCCAAAGTGCACACACACAGCAGTGAGCACACACACACCGTGAACACACACCCGGAGCAGTGGGCAGCCATTTTTTTGCTGTGGCGCCCGGGGAGCAGTTGGGGGTTCGGTGCCTTGCTCAAGGGCACCTCAGTCGTGGTATTGAAGGTGGGAGAGAGCGCTGTACATTCCCCCCCCCCACCTACAACCCCTGCCGGTACGAGACTCGAACCTGCAACCTTTGGGTTACAAGTCCGACTCTCTAACCATCAGGCCACGACTTCCCAAAGGCGACATATTATTCTGGATCTTCCCTTGGCCTCTTTCTTTTCTAATTTTGTTTTCTTCTTTGTTCAATATTGTTTTGTTCTGTGGTCTAAAGGGTTTTTTTCGTTGTTGTTTTTCTTTTTCTTTAGGGCTATGGTATGGCTGGAGTATCTTACAATGCAGGAAATCGAGGTAGAGGAAGAGGCAGAGGCAGAGGGAGAGGATTCAACACTGGCAAGTTTGCAGGTAAACTAACATCATGAAAGACATAAGCCTCATCTTTCTTATCAGTTTCCAAAAAATAACTCATTTAGCATCATTGTTTTGATTTCCATGGTTTGATTATCACTTGAATGCTGAGGTTGCCGAAAAAATGCTTCTACATGCACAAAGAAAGTGCTCATTGGGCAAGGGCAAAATATTATTTTGAATACTAATGTTTAATACTTACTCATATTTTAAATACTTGTTTATGATTTTCCGGCATGGAAATGTTATTCATAGTCATTAAAAAAATTATTATTGAAAACATTAAGTAGAAAAATCTATTTGGCAAACCCTCTTTTAGTATATAATTTCTGTATATTTGTACAGTTCAAAAGTTTGGGTCAATAAGTGTTTTTTATTTAGTACATTTTTAGTTAAGAAATAAAGAAATACATTTATTTTTTTAAAGAAATAACTACTTTTATTCAGCAAGGGTGTCGAATTTAAATTTGTCAAAAGAGAGTAAAAACATTTATTATGTTCGAAAAGATTTCCATTTCAATCAAATGCTGTTTTTTTTTACTTTCTATTTAGCAGACTCCTGGAAGAAAAGATATTAAGCAGAAAAACGGTTTTCAATACTGATAATGAATGAGCACCAAATCATCATTTTAGAATAATTTCTGGTGTATCACGTAAATTTCAGCTTTGCCATCACAGGAAAAAAAAAACACACACACACACACACACACATATATTGAACATTTTAAATTCTAATTTTTTAAATAGTTTTACTGTATTTAATTTTAAAAAATGCATCCTTGGTGAGCATAAGAGACTCTTAGATGTTTGAACGGTTGTATGTACCTATGCAAATAAGCTCCACTAGAGCTTATTTGCATAGTTAAATGTAGGTTACAAAGACATTTGTTAACTATTATCCAAAAAGAAATGCATGTTACCTATTATTCTGATGTGGATGTCATCTTAACTTTTAATCTCTATACGTTTGTCTCTCCAGGCTCCACCACTACTGCTGGATTGACCCCAGCCCAGTCTGTTACCAACTCCAGCACACCTGTGAATCCACAGGAAGACCCGTCTGCGACCTCCACCGTCAGCACGGCCACCTACCAGGCTGTCCCACCGCCAGTGACTGGCTATTATAATCAGTACACCCAATCCTATTCACAATTCAAAAAACCCGTGGATCAGGGCCAGAATCAGGCTCAAACTCAAACCCAGAGCAAAGCAACAAATCAACAAGCTCCTCTTGTTGGACCAGACTACGGCTACGGATATCAAGGGCCTGGCATGGGAATGGCAGGACCACCTGATTTCAATTATGCAGGTTAGTTTGAATGCTTTGAATGTAATTTGTTTTAAGCCACAACTATCTGAAACTCTCGTATTTTTTAATAGCGTACAGTGGACCACCTGGTACAGCAACGTTCGGGCCACCTGGAACAACAAATCAGAGCTATAGCTTCACCCAGAGCGCCTACCCCAACCTGGGCGGCTACAGCAGTGGAGCCAATAGCACAGACTACACATACAGATAAACATAACGCGTTTTCCGTGCTCAGAAATGTACAGACACTCATTTAATGTCATTTCTGTAATTCTATATCCTACAGTGTCCTCTGAGTTGAAACATTTGCTCTAAACCTTTTGAGATTTTATACCGTTTTGTGTTGATTTTGCCATTTGAACTGCACCTCAGTAACAGAATTAGCATGGTTTTGATTCACCACTAGTTTCAGGAAATGATACATCAGGATGGAAGTTGCTTTCTGTCTGTGCCTAAATGGTTGGTGTGACTCAAATGGAAATTGTCTCACATAACTCCGTTTTAAAGGTATATTTATGATCATCCTCTTGTTTTGCTTCTAAATTTTTAGCTGTTATTTTTTTTGTTTTTTTGGAATGAATGTGGATAATGAATGCAGACTTTTATGTTTACTTCTCTGAAACCACTTCAGCCATTTCTTGTTTGGATTTTTAAGAGGTTTGATTTGCATTACTCGGTTTAATCTTGGTATCGTCTTTTATGTAGAATGTAGCTATTTGCTGTTAAATAGGCCAGTGCAGAGGTTTTGTGTTTTCTGGGGTGGATGTTAAGTCATATCTTTGACCTGTGCAGAAATAAACATTTTTAATTGCTTTCCTGATTCATTTGACTGAAATTACTTATGACTATAAAGCACACTCTATCATATTTAATGTGCAAAGGCCTCTAAATTATTAACATTATCAAAACTTTGCTGAAAAACCTGTTCTACACAATCTAAAACATGCCTTCTGTCATCTGACTGATTTATACTTTTTTTTTTTTTTTTTAAAGTAAAGCCTTTTTTTTTTTTTTTGGTTAAAATGTCCCCCTTTAGGTTGTGGTACAGGTGACTTTTCTGTTAAATCTTTGCTGTGTAGAATAACTTGCAGAATAGGGTTTATATTGTTAGTAAAATTTCAAGATGAACGCTTACTGGATTGAAGCAACTTAGGTTTACTTGATTATCCATAAATTTGCATATTAAAATGTAAATATCATAGGCTTTTGAGAAACATTTACTTGTACATCTCTCAGTCATCGTTGTACTGTAATGCGTTATATGTTTTGCACCAAATTTGCATTTTCTTGTTTATTTTGGGCCTCTGAATAAAACAGGTGTTTTTTCCTCAAGTATGAGCTCCATATTTTCACTTTATAATAATACTATATATGACCCATACAAACCTGATGTATTGGATATGATATTCATAAAAACATATATAAAAAAAAGTTGTAAGACTAATTTTTAAAATACAAAAGTCATAGTGTCATTTTTAACTCTTAAGATGCACTGAACAATAAATTTGTACAGCCCTTTCTAATCAACAGATTCTGATATTCCAGTAATTCTGGACAGTTATTAAAACTGGCACAAAATTACATTCTAGAGAATTCTGTGCTTTCAACTTTGTGGAGGGCTCTGTTCTATTCCAGCACGACAATGCTCCTGTGCGCAAAGCAGAATCCATACAAAAGTCATTTACTGAGTCTGGCATGGAGTAACTTGACTGACCTGCACAAAACCTGAACCCCACTGATCACCTTTAGCATGAATTTGAACGCTGACCAAACATCTGTGCCAGACCTCACTGATGCTCTCTTTTCTCAAACCTCAACACTGACATGAGCTAAAAGTCACAAACCTGATTTCTTAATGACTGAAATGTTAATACATCTATCATTGATATGATTTAACAGCATTTAGGGTCTGTAGTTGTTTTACAGCCATCTAAACAGAGGCAGAACAGAAAAACAGAAGAGAAGTGAAAAGGTGGAACGTTAGTCTTACTAGGAGTGTTTGAAACAACTGCACTTAGTCACATGCATCTGTGGTCATTGAGTCAGTAGGAACATGCTTTGGTCACATGCGCACACCCATCCCTGTATGGGACCTAATATATAGTGGATGAGAGGAAACAGCATCCAGAGGAGGGATCACTCACACAAGGATACTTAAAGGACTAAGCCACTCATTCATTGTGAGTCTTTTTATCTGTTTTTTTAGATAATTATAATGTCACAGTTTAATAACCACAGTTTCAGTTATTTTAATCAGGGGATTTTTGATACACTTCCTCATTTTCCGTTGAATTATACCATCGAAATTCCACTTTAAAACGATCACTATCATTGGGAAATTGTGTGTATGTAGGCTATATTTATGTATATGTCAGTGTATGCATACTAGCATACTACAGATATGGCAGAAATAGTAAGAGTACTATGCTAGTATACTTTTAGAATTCAGCAGCAGTGTTTCTACCATCCCATTGGTTAAGTTGATTAACTGGGTAAAATAAATCAGCTGTTACTGAAATCAAGGCATGGCTTATTGAGGATCAGAACGATATAAAGATAGAGTCAATGCTGTAGGTGGTCATGAGGTGTAGAAAGAGGACTCTCAAAGAGCAAAAGCTGCTGGTGTAGGTGGTTTCAGTATCGTGAGATTGTTTGAATTTGATGCTTCAGTGTACTTTCAGTTCTTTTTGGTTTTATGCTTGAGAGAAGTGGGTTGTTAACTGTTTATGTTGTTTTTGTCTTTTTGTGCAGATGGCGTCACCGCTAATGCTGGTGTTTTTAACTGCTCTTCCTGGGGTCCTCTGCTACCAATCCTCATTCATTGACCTGGAAGCTAAAGGAAGTAAGTTGGCATTGATACATGTTAGATGCTGGAAATACTTACCAGTTGTGTTCCATGCTTCCATATTTATTATGAATGTTATCTTTTGAATGCTTATCTTTGCTTGCTTTCATCAGGTAACAAGTCTTCTATCAGATTCCTGGTTTTGGGGGACTGGGGTGGTCTGCCATATCCTCCCTATATTACCCCTATAGAGAAGGCCACTGCCCGCATGATGGCCAAAACTGCTTCTCAGATGGGTGCAGACTTCATTTTAGCCCTTGGTGACAACTTCTACTATAAGGGCGTCACTGATGTCAATGACCCTAGATTCCAGGTTTGGTTTCTGGAATTTAGATCCCTTGTTTTATAAATGCAGGGTTTTATTTCTATCTTTGTTAAGCCCTCCTGAGTCCTCTCATTAACTAGGTCGATTGCTGAAATGTCAAATGCCACTTTGCAGAAGTGGTTGAGTATTGGTTGGAATAACCTATTCTATTTGTGTGCTGGGTGTAGCAATTGCAAATTTAAGCTGTCTTGTGTGTTATTGGTTAGTCTACGGGTCTGGTCCTGGAGGGCCAGTGTCCTGCAGAATTTAGCTCCAACACCCTTGCCTGAAAGTGTCTAAGACCTTGATTACTTTGATTCAGGTGTGTTTAACTAGGGTTTGAGCTGAACTCTGCAGGACACCGTGGCACTCCAGGAACCGGTTTGGACTCCCCTAATCGATTCTTTCATCGAATGTAGGCCGTGGTCCTTTTTTGTTCTCTTTTGAAGGTCACGTTTGAAGATGTCTACACACAGGATTCTCTTAATATTCCATGGTACGTCATTGCTGGCAATCACGACCATGCAGGAAACGTCCTTGCTCAAATTGAGTACAGCCAGAAGTCAAAGAGATGGTACGTAAGCCAATGTGTCTAGGCCTCCATGTCTACTTGACTTTGGTTTCCTGGTTAAGCTCATTTACAACTTGATTCTTCTGTCGGTGCAGCTGTGCCCGGTGTGTAGACTTGGCAGATGTCCTGTTCTTTTCCAAACAGGCTGTTCTTAACTAATATTTCCATCTTTAAGGAACTTCCCCTACTATTATTATGAGATGAACTTCCGCATTCCTCGAACGGCTAGCACTCTGACCATCATCATGCTGGACACTGTGTTGCTGTGTGGAAACTCTGATGACTTCCTTGACCAGCAGCCCAAAGCACCCCGAAGTGGTGTTCAGGCCAACAGACAGCTGCTGTGGCTTCAGGAACGCTTGGCAAAGTCTAAGGCTGATTATCTCCTGGTGGCTGGTCATTATCCGGTGTGGTCCATATCAGAGCATGGGCCAACCGACTGTCTGCTGAAGAAATTGAGACCACTGCTTATGAAGTACAAAGCCACTGCTTACCTGTGTGGCCATGATCACAATCTACAAGTAGGTCTTCAAGCCTTTCGATAAGGTTCAGTATGGTCAGCTTTGTGTTTTACTTGTGCCTCTTTGCCATTCAGTACATCAAGGAGTCCGGTATCGGTTATGTGGTCAGTGGCGCTGGTAACTTTATGGATCCCGATGTGCGGCACCGCAACCAGGTTCCTCGAGGCTACCTCAAGTTCTTCAATGGTGATGCTGGTACCTTGGGTGGCTTTGCCCATGTGGAGGTTAACAAGACCGAGATGACCGTTACTTTTATTCAGGCTAGAGGAACCTCTCTTTACAGGGCTGTTCTTAAAAAGCGTGACGATCTTTTCAGAGTGGATGACTATGTTTGAAGTTTATTCAGTTTTAATGTGACTTTGGGATGTTGACCCAGGTCTTTTAGAGATGTGCTCCAGATTGGGGGGGGGTGGGGTGTTGCACTCTTGAAATCCTTTTATTATAGAGTAGACTTTTAAATGGTTTAACCAATAAATGTTTGGTAAGCTACGTTGAGAACATGTAAGTTTTTAAAAATGATTATTAAATGACTCCTTTTAAATTTACTTTTTGTCTGTTAATTCTGCTTGGTGGTTCGCAACTCGGCTTGTTGCAACAAATGACACTTTGCAGGGAATTTGACTAGTCATAATGCTGACTCTGCCGTTTGTCCAACAAACTAGAGTACAGTTTGGCGTAATGGTGAACAAACACGTGGACAGCCAATGCTGCGGTGCCCGGGGAGCAGTTGGGGGTTTGGTGCCTTGCTCAAGGGTCTCACCTCAGTCATTGTATTGAGGGTGGCGAGAGCACTGGATATTCACTAAGTTTAAAGTATACCTGGCAAGACCTTGACTAGCTAGTTCAGGTGTGTTTAATTGGGGTTGGAGCAAGACCTTGGCCCTCCAGGACCAAGTTTTGTGACTCCTGTAACTATAGGTGCTGATCAGCTAATGTGGCACTTTAACTGAGGTACCACAGTAATCTCCCAACACACAAAGCTACAAAACTGTGTTGTTGGAACTTCTTAAATTATACAGTTTGAAAGCTGAGGTTGTTTCATACCAGAAGTAACCTGTCTTTTTGTCAGCCAATTGGGTGGCTGACCTCGCTCTAATTCTGTTAAAACCATGGCTAGTGCTTGCCGTTATTACGACCGTTATTTGTTAAATGATTGCTTTTTGTCAGCCGGTGTGTGTGTGTGTGTGGGGGGGGGGCTGCTATTAGTGTTTCAGAAATTGGTATATGAAAGGAAACGGTGCGTTAAACATGGGGCAACTAATACTGCAGTGGCATTTAATGGGTTTTTTTTTTTTTAAATAGGCTCTTTAATGCCCAAATAGCTTGTTACAAAACCTGATTCTAGTTTCTCCCACAAAGTTGGGCAATGTCCAGTCCTAATTAATGACTTGACTGTATATGGAACCGCTCTGAAACCATTGTTGACCCAATGTTCCTGTAGCATGAGCCAGACAAAACCAGAGCTGGACAAATGTTGACCACATTAATGGTAATCCGTGACCAATCCTTTTCCCTTTATTAAATATTAACAATGTAATGCTGTACTTCCGGCTTTGAGCCAGCCTAATTTAAAATAAACCTAGAGTTCATCAACTTTTTATTTAATTTGTGTTATGGCCACACTTGAACGGGAAGTTTGATTCAATAAAGTGTGCTGTTTTTCTCACATCTGCTGCGCTTTTTTTTATTTTTATTTTATACATATATTTTTTTTAAATTAATATGGGTATGTGACGATGTTTGAAATCCAGAACTTCTCAAACTACAATTTAGCCCTAACAGGTGTGTGTGTATATATACATTACAGTGTAACGGTGCTTAAAGAATGGTGGGAACGTAAGCTTCATGATTTAATCTGATGAATCCCAGCCATCACATATAATATCCATGACAGTCAGGATGCAGGCCCTAATCCTTTCTGCACATGCTCTGTGTCGGTCCTCAATTCAATCTGGTCTAATCTAAATGATTTCCTAATCCCTGATTTAACAGTTCGCAAATCTACATTAAAACATTCATGATGTCTATATTGGCCTACTTTTCAATTCTTCAAAAAAATGTATACTTTAGCTTAGTTTTAATGTGACTTTGGGATGTTGACCCAGGTCTTTTAGAGATGTGCTCCAGATTGGGGGGGGGTGGGGTGTTGCACTCTTGAAATCCTTTTATTATAGAGTAGACTTTTAAATGGTTTAACCAATAAATGTTTGGTAAGCTACGTTGAGAACATGTAAGTTTTTAAAAATGATTATTAAATGACTCCTTTTAAATTTACTTTTTGTCTGTTAATTCTGCTTGGTGGTTCGCAACTCGGCTTGTTGCAACAATTGACACTTTGCAGGGAATTTGACTAGTCATAATGCTGACTCTGCCGTTTGTCCAACAAACTAGAGTACAGTTTGGCGTAATGGTGAACAAACACGTGGACAGCCAATGCTGCGGTGCCCGGGGAGCAGTTGGGGGTTTGGTGCCTTGCTCAAGGGTCTCACCTCAGTCATTGTATTGAGGGTGGCGAGAGCACTGGATATTCACTAAGTTTAAAGTATACCTGGCAAGACCTTGACTAGCTAGTTCAGGTGTGTTTAATTGGGGTTGGAGCAAGACCTTGGCCCTCCAGGACCAAGTTTTGTGACTCCTGTAACTATAGGTGCTGATCAGCTAATGTGGCACTTTAACTGAGGTACCACAGTAATCTCCCAACACACAAAGCTACAAAACTGTGTTGTTGGAACTTCTTAAATTATACAGTTTGAAAGCTGAGGTTGTTTCATACCAGAAGTAACCTGTCTTTTTGTCAGCCAATTGGGTGGCTGACCTCGCTCTAATTCTGTTAAAACCATGGCTAGTGCTTGCCGTTATTACGACCGTTATTTGTTAAATGATTGCTTTTTGTCAGCCGGTGTGTGTGTGTGTGTGGGGGGGGGGCTGCTATTAGTGTTTCAGAAATTGGTATATGAAAGGAAACGGTGCGTTAAACATGGGGCAACTAATACTGCAGTGGCATTTAATGGGTTTTTTTTTTTTTAAATAGGCTCTTTAATGCCCAAATAGCTTGTTACAAAACCTGATTCTAGTTTCTCCCACAAAGTTGGGCAATGTCCAGTCCTAATTAATGACTTGACTGTATATGGAACCGCTCTGAAACCATTGTTGACCCAATGTTCCTGTAGCATGAGCCAGACAAAACCAGAGCTGGACAAATGTTGACCACATTAATGGTAATCCGTGACCAATCCTTTTCCCTTTATTAAATATTAACAATGTAATGCTGTACTTCCGGCTTTGAGCCAGCCTAATTTAAAATAAACCTAGAGTTCATCAACTTTTTATTTAATTTGTGTTATGGCCACACTTGAACGGGAAGTTTGATTCAATAAAGTGTGCTGTTTTTCTCACATCTGCTGCGCTTTTTTTTATTTTTATTTTATACATATATTTTTTTTAAATTAATATGGGTATGTGACGATGTTTGAAATCCAGAACTTCTCAAACTACAATTTAGCCCTAACAGGTGTGTGTGTATATATACATTACAGTGTAACGGTGCTTAAAGAATGGTGGGAACGTAAGCTTCATGATTTAATCTGATGAATCCCAGCCATCACATATAATATCCATGACAGTCAGGATGCAGGCCCTAATCCTTTCTGCACATGCTCTGTGTCGGTCCTCAATTCAATCTGGTCTAATCTAAATGATTTCCTAATCCCTGATTTAACAGTTCGCAAATCTACATTAAAACATTCATGATGTCTATATTGGCCTACTTTTCAATTCTTCAAAAAAATGTATACTTTAGCTTTTTGTTCTTCATTATACCAATCTGCCATTACTGTCTTGTAGAAAGATTTGAACTCTGGAGGACAACCAGGTCAGTTTGCAGTTTTATGTGGATCTCTAGTATTAGTGTAATGTTAAGTCTTCTCTACCCACCTGCAGTGTGATTTCTTGTCTGTGGCATTAAAGCGTGAACTACTACCGGTATCTAATAGGTTTATTTGTTCTATTTACAGTGCCCAAACCATTATATTGTTTTATAATTATCACCAACCCCAATTTGTTACATTTAATAACACATACAAAGAAAACAGTTTGGACCGATCATTTGTGTCATAAAGTTTATAATTGATTAACAATGGGGAAAATAAATTATTTTAAATATTAGAGCATAATCAACATGATTGTAAGTTTCATAAATGTGCTTTAGTAATAATAACAGTCGGCGCCAGTTATCTAAACAGGTGTACAGATGAGGTCACCAGCACTCACATGTCATTTAAGTCCAAAGATTAACAAGTACAGCACGTTTATACAGAAATCTGTCAAAAATATGTGTCAAATAACTTGAAAACTACAAGAGGAAACATTTTTTAAAAATCCAATACTATAGATATAAAATATGAGAGGGTGAGATTTGCCATATCTGTCACTGGTTTCCTCTCAGGTTTAAAGGGGTCATAAGATGCGACTTAAATTTTTCCTTTCTCTTTGGAGTGTTGCAAGCTCTTGGTGCATAAAGAAGATCTGTAAAGTTGCGAAGACTAAAGTCTCAAATCCAAAGAGATATTCTTTATAAAAGTTAAGTCAGCCACGCCTACCTAAAACGGCTCGTTCTAACACGCCTCCACATGTCTACCTCACTATGTGGGAAGATTTGCATAACGCCGCCCAAATGTCCACGCAAAGAAAGAAGGCGTAACTTTTATTCTCGCTGTAGTATTGTTGCCGCCGCCGCCATGTCGTGAAGACGCTGTGTGCTTCGTTGTGAAAGTGAAACTACTTTGTTTGGCCTTCCAAAAGAGGACGATATTCGCTTCATCATGCCTAGAGCTGATCCGTTCTGGTTGCTGAGGAAATACATCAACTTCACGCTGTGGATCACCGGATCGGCTTTCACCGTGGACGAAGCGGAGTCCAGCCCGGGGTCGTCACATGTGGTTGCCGCAAGCCTGCCGGACACTCCTTCATCGAATCCGCCGGCCGCGCCGTTCTCAAGCCCACCGCCTCTGCTCACTCTAGCCCTCCGGCCATTCCTCATTCTAGTCCCCGGCTTCCGCTCACTCTAGGCCGCCGTGTGTGATGCTGTGTTTCGCTGTGAAAGCGAAACTACTTAGTTTGGCCTTCCAAAAATGGACACGACTAGAAATCAGTGGTTAAGTTGTATTTACAACACTGTTCCAGAACACTTCAACCCAAATATTCAGATGTATGCAGCGCATTTTATGGAGGACTGTTTCCTGATCCTAGTAGAGTAGACTACAATGCCGGCTGTTCTGACTCACAGACTGTAAGTACGTTTTTAATATTTTTTATATTTAAAGCTAGTTTTTTGGGCAGTGTAGAGTAGGCCTTCTTATTTGTAATTTCTCTGATCACAAATGCAGACATGGTTTTATGTTTACATGGTGCGATGCAACACAACACGTAAAAAGACAGTAGAAGTCATTATAATCCATAATTATGTCCCTACGGGATGCAATGAATGCCTCGTTTATAATGGGTTTTCATGTTTTTGAATCATCGCTCCGGCCGGACAGGGCATC